ATGAAGTGCTCAGAGGGAGGCGTTGATAATTTTTTTTAAACTGAAATTCTTGATACAATCTACATAATTAAGGATAGTTTTCAAATCACACACATACAAAGGGCCCAAGCTTTGCAACATCAAGAGCAATGTTAGTAACTTACCAGGAACCCAAAAGAGTACAGATAGAGCACACATAAAATGTGCAGTTTATACCACACACACACACACTCTCATACACACTCCATCCTAGCCCCTGAGAGGTTGCTTGATTTCCACTGCAGTATAACCTTGGCCTCTACAGGGAGAAAATAGCTATGGCCCACATTTTAGAACTTTTGAGGCAGAATTTAAGATCAAATACTGGCCAACAGGAGTTCAATATTCTAGCATTTATCCTTAGGTGATGCAGGAGGTAAGAAAAGTATTTGGTTATCGCTGCTAGAGGAGAATGCAGTCGCTGGAAGTCTGCTGTATGTTTTTAACAATCAAAACATATGGGCCTCATAATTGATCCAGGATGTTGGCTATTCCAAAGAAACTATAAGGCTCTTTAGTACATTGGATATAGAGAATGCAATGGACCATCTGAAGTGCTACTCTCCCATATGTCCCACCCTCTTGGGAAGTAAATAGTGATGCCACGAAAGGATCATTTCAATCCTACCAAAAATGTTACAATAAGCATCATTCCATGAGGGAGGGCTGCTGAGAAGAGATGGTATTCCTGTCACTGAAAGTTTTTAAGAATAGACAAATGCATGTAAAGGCTGGTCTATTCTTGATCCTGCCTTTTCATAAGGGGACTCAAAAGTAGACGTCTTGAGGTACCTTTCAGTCCCCCATTTTCATGATTCTTCCCCATAGTCTGGACCCATTTTCTCCCCCACTTAAAAGTTCTTTGGAATCAAGCACCCTGAGAGAAGAAAATTAACTGATGGCATCACCAGATAGAGTAAAATGGCTTCTTTGTAAAAGATTCCATTACTGTTAGACAGTACTGGACTTTTTTTTTTAGACACCCCCCCCTCCCAAATCCTATGGTCCAAGTCAAAAGCTGAGAATTTATGCGTCTCCTTGGATGAAATTCTGGCTTCACTGAAATTAGATGTGAATTTTGCCAGCAATTTCATTGAGGCCAGGATTTCACCCCTATTCTCTAATGCCAGGTGACATAGCCCACTTCCAAGGCCTTGGACAGGCTAACTCAATTTCATCTATTGTAAAATGGGGCCAAGATCCCTCCATAGGGGGTGTTGATATGTTAATTTAATATTTGTAAAGCATTTCAAAGACAAGGGCTAAAGATTATTAAATGCTGCAATCAATTATGAAGTTCACATCTGCAGCCCTCACCTCAGGCAAATTTCACATGGATGTCAATACAAGATTTTTTTGGCTGAGCAAGGCCAGTACAGTTAGGCATTGGATTTCAGGAAGGTCTGTAAGATCATATAATTCTAAAATAAAATTAGCATAAAGTCTGATATATCTCAAACAGGGAGGCTGGCACAAATCTGGCATTAAGTAATTCTAGAAAGCTGCTTTCCTGAACTGCAAGACAGCATGCTCAGTATAACATGTGGAAGGAATTTCTTTGCATTTCATCTTTTATACTGTCACCTGAAACCGGCATCTGTTACATGCTTCTGTAAATCCATGTGTTGTTAACATAACCATCTCAGCAAGTAAAAGACATATATTGCTACAATTAGTATGTAAGTGGATTAACTCTGAATTTGTGAAAAATTTAATTCCTGACTATTCTTGCAAATAGATTTTACAAGCAATATGAAGCAAGATTACAAATGAAATTAGGCTCCCTGGCTTGTGGCATGTTACACAAGTAAGAAAAAAAAAATTTATTCCTACCAAGCAAATGCACAACACATGTAGAACTGAACCTAACCAATGCCATTATTTAAATTTATTTAGGAGCTTTAAAACGCACGGTACAGTATTCCATGTTAGGAAAACGTTCTACTTATAATTTCTCCATGTTTGATTTCAAGAATGAACGAAGTGATAAATCCAATTCACTCCTTAACATTTCAGGAAATGTACATTGTTTCAGAGGTCCTTATCCTGCCATATGAGCTGCTACCATAGCTTAGTGCTGTCTCCCTTTAGAATAATTTCAGAATTGCAGCCATATCTACAGTAATACGAAAGAAAAATCTGTGTGGCTTCTCTCTCTAAATATAGAGAATCCAAAGTAAGTTTTCACAAGTTCCTTGACAATGAAAAAACACCAAAACAACCAAAAATAATTCAAGAACCAAGTCCAATGCATACTGTTTACATTTATTTCTTTACTACACTTTTTACGTTTACCTTGTTAGTGTTTGCTTGAAAGTTCATTGTTTATCTGTTCTCCAAAAATAATGTCCCTGTGCACCATTTCATTTCAAAACACAATGATCTTTCTCTCATTGTTTTTAATTTCTAAGAGGAAAATTAACACTACTTTAATTATGTCATTAAAACGGTCTAGTTACAACAAAAAAGATGGCTACATTTGTGAGAAATCCACTGAAATCTGTGGAGTCTTTGTATATAATAAAGATTCTACTACACTTGAGTAAGGGAAGAAAAATTGGGCACTGATGTATTAACTGAAAATCAAAACAGTTTGACAGTACCAAATTAATATTTTAAAGAATCCCTCGCTGTTACTTACCATCTTAAATTACCAAAAATAAATATTTTTCTATTTTTTAAAAACCATTTATTGTACAATTAGTTCTTTTTTTACTTCCCTCAGCAAGGACAATAAAAATAAGCTAACCAGTTTCACTTTTGGATTTTCAGCAGTGCAGCAAAAGTGGAACTTGCTTTAGGATTCAGTCATGATTCTCAGAGCACCCTTATCTTGGAAAAATATATATACGGTTTCTTGGTTATGTATCTAGCAGAACTCACCAAAATTAAGAATGGTATATAATCTAAAACATACAGCAAAATAGTTCTCATTAGTTCAAATGGATATTTTTTGTCCCCATACCACCATGAATTTAAATTCCGTGGAGGAATTTTCTGAGTTGCTGTTTCCAGTAACCTGTCAGATAATGGAGGGTCATTTGGCTGTGATCCTTGGAATCTACTATGTATTGAGAGAGATTGTCTGTTTGTCGAGAACTCCCCCTTACTGGTAAGAGCTAGGACCATCAAATTTATTATACAGCTTCTTATCCTAACTTAAAGCAAAGTAAGGGTTTGGTTGTGCCAGGAAAATGGGATTGCTTCTCATAAAACCATACAGAAAAGAAACAGAATCGTCAGGCAGCTGAAAGAGACTGACTGGAGGTGCTCCCTGCTCTGGAACTGCCCGAGTGCCTAAGCCTCCCCTCAATCCATAGGGGAACATTCATGGTTATTCCCTTTCATCAGAGAGTGAAAGGAAAGTGCAGAGTTTGCTGATTTCTAACTGCACTCTTGCCTCAGCTTTTGGGGGGTGGGTTGGGGAGGGGACAGAAACGGAGGAATCACATGTCCAAAGCACCCTTGCAGGATCCATGGGACGTACATGGAGAGGGCCCTACCAAATTCACTGTCCATTTTTATAAATGTCACAGTCACAGCATTTTAAAAATCTTTAATGGTGTGGTTTCAGATATTTAAATCTTAAATGTCATGGTGTTGCGATAAAATATGAAAATGTACTTTAAAATTGAAAAATATAAACACGTTACACCCTTAAATCAGAGGACCCAACACTAAAGGGGGCCACAACACTACTGGGGGGAAGGGGGAGCTGAAGTATTGTTACCCTTACTTCTGCACTGCCTCAGAGTTGGACAGCCGGAGAACAGCAAAAGCTAGCCAGATGTCCAGCTCTGAAGGTAGCTCCGCTGCCAGCAGCAGCACAGAAATAAAGGTGGCATGGTATAGTATTGTCTGAAAGACACCAAAATCCTACCATTCCAATGGTGCTCCTGTCTACTAACTTGTGATGTACTCAAACACTCATGTAGAAACTAAATTTCTGTACCTGCACAAATGGCAGATTCTAAGTAGTTAACCATTTATTTGCATACCTCCTCACACAGCCCAAACCCAGAACACCTTTTTCCCACTGACATGACGTGTCTTACTGTGACACTCTGCAGAACACGGTTTACATATTTTGACTCACAAAACTTAAACAGTGAATAGTCCTGCAGCATGTTAGAGACTAAAAAAAAAATGTAGGTGGTATCATAAGCTTTCATGCTTTCGAAAGAGCCTCTTTCGAAAGAGAGCGTCTAGACTGCACGCGGAACTTTCGAAAGAGCAAGCCGCTTTTTCGAAAGAAAGCACCCAGTGAGTCTGGATGCTCTCTTTCGAAGAAGCCCTATTTACATTCAAGAACGCCTTCTTTCGAAAGAAGCACTTTTGAAAGAAGGCGTTCTTCCTCGTGAAATGAGGTTTACCGCCGTCGAAAGAAAAGCCGCGTTCTTTCGATTTAATTTCGAAAGAACGCGGCTGCAGTCTAGACGCAGGTGAAGTTTTTTCGGAAAAAGGCTACTTTTCCCGAAAAAAACCCTGAGTCTGGACACAGCCTAAGGTGCTGCAGGACTATTAGCTGTTTTTTAATTTTTTTCTGTTACAGACTTACACGGCTACCCCCTGAAATATTTTGACACGGACTCTCCCAAAGCATGTCAATTTTAATCACACTGTGCACATCTTTTCTTCTGTTTGGTATTCTGCTTTCTTCCTACAACTAGGCATTTTGAGTATAGAGTATGTGTCACTGAAAAGCAAACTGTAATCTTCCTCCTTCAAAAAAAGAAACAGCCAGAGATAAAAAAGAGAAAGCCAAAAGTTTAAGAAGAGTCACCAGAAGTTTAAGAATGACAAAACAGCATTTGAAATTTAACACTCAGGACCAGTTAATTTATCCAAAAAGGATGTTTTACCACTTAAGAGAACACTTGCTATAATTATAACCTGCACAAGTCTAATTTCATACTTAAGCATCCATAGTGCCCATACAGTCACTTTCACACTCAGCGAATGCTGGCACTGGGCAGCAAAGATTACTTTTATCAATCTGTTTTATTTCACAATACATTCATTAGTCTCTGCATTTCCAAGGGCAACTACATCTTGCTCAGTTCAATGATGCTGATACTGGGTGTTCCACAATCACACCAGCTTCAATACGAGACAGTAACGCACATTTGTACAAAACGTAGTACAAGCTGGACACATCTCAAGAAGAAATCCCTACAATCCTTTACTTAGTATGATTGCGTATGAAGGCATATTTATCATATTAAAAGAGAACCACATGTAAAGGGGAGTCTGGAGTCCAATAAATCTTGGACTATTTCTTTTAATTGAATACTTTTTCAAAAAGGGTATAATATATGTTTATAGAAACATTTACTCCATCTTCTGGGAAGGAGAATGCTATTAACCCTTTTATGCACCATCCTCTAAAATCTCCCCACTGATCACAACTGTGAGGTACCACATAGCAATTTAAATCCATTGTAAAAAACATCTGGATGAAGTTTCCTTGGCTGTTCATTTGAAAATTATACAAGCAGCAGAGTTAAAGGAACAACCATGACTCAGAGGGTAAACACAAGGATAACGCTATACATTGGTAGATTTCTGCTTCAACAACTCCTGAAAACTTTTGATTATACAATTACCTTCATTCATGGAAGAAAAAAATTCCTTTTCTTAGTTTTGATGGGAGGAGAGAAAGACAATCGATTTTAAAGGAAATCCCATTGATGGACAATCTAACATTTTATACATAAATTAACATAAACTTTAAAAACTCCACTTGCCAGATGCCCAATGGCAAAAAGGAAGCTTCCAATGTGTGTGTAGAGAAATCAGTGCCATCGACGTCTGAATAATTTTTGTTTTGAATTGTGAACAAGTTTCTAGTTTTATGGTTGTAAAGAAACCCACCTGCGAACTGACTGGAAAGTGGTGTAGTGTGCCGTGATGTCTCCCTAACACTTTAAGTAGGTATCTCCAGACCTAAATCTTTGAAAATGACCAATGAGTTTGGGGCCTGATTTTCAAAAAGTACTGAGCATCTGCCCTCTGATAATCAAATCTATTTGAAAGGTCTCATATTGCACCTCCAAAATCACTTACCATTTTATTAGCAAAGGCCCAGGAGCCTGTCTTTCCAAGTATTCAGTTTTCTCTGGCTTTAGCAGAGAAAGCAGGAATAAGAAATGTGAGTTTTCTTCACAGCTGCTATTCAAAACCCTGAGTGCAGCAGTGAAAAACTAACATGAACCAAGTCAATTTCATTCTGGGGCTGATTTGGGGGGAAAAAATGAAGCAGTGTCAGAGCAGGCCACTGGAGAGGACCTAACACTGAGGCTGAAGGAAGGGTAAAGTAGCAGACACAGGATCCCCAGAACAGTAGGTAGGAATGCTAAGGAGGGCAGCAGAACTCCCTTCTTCATGCAGCAGTTGCAGCAGGAAAAAGATTCTGGGGCAGAAAAGGGAAAACAGGAAAGATTTTTTTCACTGCTGAGCAATGGGAGCATCTACTAGAAAGATTAGTAGAAAAGATGAGAGCCTTGAGCAGGGTCCAATGACAGTACCTTTGCAGAAGCTGAAGAGATGACAGGGAAAGAAGGAGGGGCTGGACTTTTCAAACCCCAGGAAAGGGCTTTTTAAAACCTTTCATATCAAGCCCTGAACAAGTGATCATTCACAAATAAAGAAAGAAACATGGACTACAGATTCTACGTTCAATGCTTATTTTTAAAATACTTAACCATTGTAATGTGTGCCCCATCATTTCCACTTCGATTTTGTTAATCCCTTAGTTGTAGAAGAGTGGTTTCTGTGCAAATCAGTAATTAATTGGGTGTCTAAGACAAGTTTTACTAGATGAACACAACATACAATTAGGTGCTAATGTGCATTTGAGTGTAAGAGACGGACCTTTTAAACTTGGGAAAAATTAAACATAACTGAATTACAGCATGGGGGAGGGGGAGCCAAATGGGATGCAAATTCAGATGTACAAGACCAAGACTTGGACTGACTTTCTCTTCCATTAAGATAAATTATTGCTCTGAAATGTTATGGATGTCAGATTTTCAGTACTACAGTTGGAATAATAATAAAAAGAATTTACAGGGTCCCAAAATAAAACCCAGTGTGCAGCAAGAAAGGAGACAATTTGTCATGTAGAACAACTACTTGCCATGGCCAGAGATTGATTACTCATACACGTGAGGAGGTGAACATTATTTGGTATTACTGTCTGTTTTGATCTGAACCTGCCAAGCCACAAGTGCCCTCACAACTCAAATGGGTTATCTCTTAATGGAGAGATCTCAAGGATGTGGATGTCTTTTTGAGAAGAACCCTTCAAAACCTGAGAGTATCTTTTGGAATTGTAAAACAATGCCCAGCATACACAGGTCTATACCAAGGAGGGAAGTTGAGATGACGTTTTTCAAACCAGCAATGTATAGGCAATTGACAAACAAACTAAGTCATGTAGTAAATGACAGGTAGCAGGAAAACATGGATCTAAGACTTACAGTGCATCTAGAAGAATTCTTACATTTAAAAAATTGCAATAAACTCAAATTCATTTGTTCAGATAATCCATGTACAACAGAAGGCACTGTTATCCATATGAATCCATCAGTTCTGCATGGCAAAAACCTGAGAAGTGCAACTCAACTAGATTCAACCTAGCTCCTCCCCATCATTCAGTTTTCTTGAGGGCACATGTTTTCTTTTCAGTCTATCAAATTATAAAAACACCACAAGAATTTGAACATTACAGTAGCTGGTTAGAAAGAGCAGTCTGGTGGGGAAACACATTGCTGTATCCCAAGGGAAGCCATCTGGAGCATCAGATTACCCTCCCCCAGATACTCAGAAGTCATGACTATTTTATAACAACATGTAATGATGAAACCATTCCCAGAGTCCTTTGCAGTTTCTCTTTAGTTGCCTCCGGGAGCATTTCCACCGAAGTTAAATGCTGAGATCAGTCCTTTATTGTCAAACGTGTAGCCACTTTGTTGTTCTATTGTCTTAGTCTCTAAAATCACAGAAGGGAAAAAAAGGAATATAAGAGAGTGAGCAAGTGTGTATGTTCTACATAGTCCTGTGCAGAATAGGAAGCTTGTGGAACTAACTCTATTGACCAAGACTTCATTCTCAGACCTGCCATGGCAGTGATCAATTGCAAGAAACTGGATTTTTTTTTAAGTAACATTCCACACCTCTCACTAGGACAGAAACTGAGAGATTACAGTATTATAAAATAATTGTACATGACATTGCTCTGCATGCTCCTCAGTTTAATGAACTTATTTTCACCAATGCAGGCCCCATTTTAAAGGTTCATAAGTTCATATTTACTTTGAAAGTAATTTTAGTGGTAAAAAAAATTGAACAGCTGTTAAACAGCCAACGATCTAGAACAGTCTTGATCAAATGAATGGTTGTCAGGCAGGAAGTACCTTAATTTACTCTTTACATGAAAAATCCATCAGAAAATCTAGCTCAAGCTCTATTTAAAGAACCATGCCTGTCAGATAAGAGTCTACCCATTACAGGCAATGCTACTATCTAGGCAAGATTTATTTCAGTGCAGAGACAAGGCCATATGAACCACTCATGCTGTTCTAGCCTCCTCTAAGACCCAGGCCAAGTAGTTCATAAGGACTCATGCTGATCCTCTGTACCCTATATAATGTTATAAAGGATATTCTGTTTCCTACAACACATAAAACAGCTGCAGAGAAATGACTGACCTGCAGCACTTCGCCGGTGTTCAGCTAACGTGTAAATTTCCTGCAGTTGTTTTTTCTGATCATTGCTGAGTGGTGCTGTCAGCGTATGGTACCAGGTAAGAAGTACATGAAAAATGATTATTAGCTTATGTTTTGAGCTATTTAAGACTATGAGAAAGACACAAAGACAAAAAAGATCTGGGTATGTGGTTTAAACTACAGTTTCCCAGAACACAGATGAAGTTGGCCTATTTCCAACAGGGACTGGAGGTTTGAGAATCTTAAAATTAAGCATGTATTTAAGAGCTTTCTGGAAACCAGGACTTAATAATGTTCCAAAGTGTACCCAATATTCACAAATATGTTCAATTTCATGGTCAAAATGCATCCATTATGCTGAAAATTAAATTCATTCCAAAATTTAAAAAAACAACCACCCTACACTTGTTATACCTTCTGGACAGGAGAAAAATTGCCTTTTCCTTTAGGGGTTTGACAGTTTAGAAAATGATAAATACTTCTATTTGAGCATGCAAAAGACACTAAAGTAGTTTAGCCCCTATAATTTAGATTTTCTTTGAAAAGTTGCAACAGAGATAGTATGAACTGAAATGATTTTGGTACCTTGTCAGTTAGAATGCTTGATCAGATTTAGATGTATCCCTGAGTGTATACTAGCCAAATATTTCAGGATTATGTTAGAGCATGAGAATTAGAAAGTGAAACTCGTTAGTAGAAAAAGGGAAAATTTCCGAAAATCCAAGCTAAGGTAAATCAGCATAAATGGTGAAGTAAACATACAAACAAGATCTTAGGTTTCCAATAGTATAAGAAATCACTAACACCACAGATAAGGGCTTTAAAGAATAATTAACGTAAGTGTCTCTGAACTATCACATTAAAGAATTATGTCTACAGGCATATACGTACTTAAGAGTGCTTGTGTAAAAAACTGATATTCATCTACACCATCTTCAAGGTCAAGAGGAGTGCTAAATCCTTCTAGAGCAGTTTCTTCCAAGGCATCTTCATCCCAGTCATCATCGTCATCCTCCTCATCTTCATCCCCTCCTCCACTATCACCTCCTCCGTGATTCTCTTGCATTGCTTGACTCACTTCATTTGTCTCCTCTTCATCGCTTGGGATCTCTTCTGCAATTGTATCAACATTTTTATATTAAAAATAATCATATGCTTTCTGTAATTAAACATATTAAAGGGCCAAAACAGATACATGTACAGTTTTGACCAGAAATGTGATCCTTTTGAAAAAACCCTCCAAGATGTCAAAAAAGGAAGCCATCAAAACATTTCAGACATTTCAGAATACGGTTATGCTCCGTTTCTAATAACACCTTGGAAAAATGAAGCTGAAATTTGTTCTCACATGTACCCGAACTAAGTTTGTGCGTTTGCAACAGGAGCAAAATAGCAACTTTCCTCTTTTAAATTAATATAAATGGCATATCATTTTGCTTTTTAATAAAATACAACAAATAACAACTTACTTGGACTTCACAATTAAAAGACTTTTGTCAAATGTATTGCCTACCAACCCTTACAGTGCTCTCTTAACTGCACAACTTCCCTTGGTGGTTTTACCGGATTCCTATTTATGAAACAGCAATCATGTCCAGAACAAACCAACCCAAAAACTTAGTTCCAAATATTGCTATTTCTGATTTAAGCAGCTTCTTAGGTGACTATGTTAAAATATCTAAGAAATATTTTCAAGACTATAACTGGGGGTTAAAAACATCATTTCAAGTTTTTCTTTTGTCAGCTGGATGAAATGAGTGGAATTGGTCATATCTGCTATGAGCATATGGCCAGCAATTTGGAAGGAGTGGTACTGGGATTTTAGGCAAATCACAGTGCAGAGATCTGAGCAGCACATGGCTACTGAACTATGCAACATGGCTATGCAGTTGCTGTACCACATTCTTGTGCACAATATACAGAGGCAACTGAATTTAAGTCCAATCATTTCTGAATTTTGCATCTGTTAAATGCATTTCAGTTTCATTTGTATCCATGGCATTAGCACCTACAATAGTTTTCATCTCATACTGCAAATTAAGATACATCCAGACAATAAAATAATCTGTCAAATACTGTGTAATATACACTCTCTAGTGCAGCAAATTCTCTTGATCGTTTTTCCCCTTTTTACCTGATAGATTGAGAGGAGGCCTCTCTGTCACAGGATCCTTTGTCATCTCAAAACCTGCTTTGTAAACCCTGTCATGAAGGCTTTTTGTGCCAGGGTGGATTGATTTAAGATCAAAACAATTTGCATTACCAAGTCTGATCATGATTTAAAGTAGTAAGCAGGAAACCTTGATATAAATAATTGACTTTAATCTTCTTTTGTATTTTTTTATTTTCCTGAAGAAAGACTGATTCTCATTAGCTGTTAACCATTAAAACATTTTGATTTGCAACAAAATAGAGCCTTTCCATTCAATTTGGTACTTTTTGCTAAGCAGGAGCATATATTCTCTATACAGTTATTTAAGCAATTCTATAGATTAATTTAATTCATTCACAGTATTAATTTCTTTTAATCGTGTGATGTTAAAATGGCCAGTGACACATTTCTTATTTACTAAAGGATCTTCTTTTTTACTCAAGATTTGGGGCAAGCTCTATTAAGATTGAAACTTGGAATTCAATTAAAAGTGCACTAAAAGTACTTTAAATTTGTTTTTCTTAAACAAAACCACCTTAAATATGCTGGCTACAAAAGAAGAAAGTTAATCAAAACATGTTTTCCATTTAAAATAGATTTATCAAATAGATAAGTATTATCTGCAGTTTGTGAATTAAACTGATTGTTTCTCCCCTTCACATTTTTTAAAACTAGCAGATCTCATCTTCTCACATCTCATTTTTATTCATAGATTAGCAGAGAAAAACAAGCTTTTCTGCTTTTCAATTTACAATTGGTTTCTTAACTCTGAATGAACTGAAATGAAGGAAATATTTTATGTGCCTTCATAAGAAGCTAGTGCTATCAAAAGCTGGTTTAGCACTTCACAAACTTTGCTTCCTGATGCTGAACCAATGACTTTACCAGCTTGGTTTCCTTTACAACTTAAGCAGCAAAATTAATTGTAAATAATGTTTGTTTAAAAAAAATAAACCTGTTCTTTTTAAATAAACTCCAATTTAATTTAAAATATAAGTTTTTTCAATGTCATTTTTTATTCCAGCCTTCTTTTTGTCACACTCCATCTGGAAGATGATAACTAGCCTGGGATTCCTTTCAAATCCATTACTATTGCTTTTTAAATTAATTGAAGAGGTAGCTATTAGGGACATATTTTTTTCCAGGGACCAAGAATGATGCTTCCATATCACTGCCAGAGCCTCCTGCATGCTGGTTTACCAAGCACATTCACGATCAGGAACCCTGGATTTCCAACTTTTATTGTTTTTAAAACAAAACTGCCCTCTCAGAAAGAGCAACATTCTCCAAAAGTGCTTTAGCATTAATTTTAAGAGGTGCAACCAAATCACAAGGGGATGTATTGAAGCATCCAATAAACCAGCCAATTATTCAGCAGGCTGGCTGAAGATTTTTAAATGTACCTTTAGTTTCATACAATTTTGAAATTAAATCCAGACAAAATCCACAATGTGGAAATGAGAGATTTTACCATTATCTTCTGCATCATGTTTTTCGTCTTTAGCATGATCTTCATGGTCTGTAAATTCTCGCGTAGCACATACTTGTTTTAATCCCAGAAACAGGAGCAGGATTGAAGGAACAATCTGGGCAGCCACAGCATCTACTGCAGGAGGTCGGTTTTGCAATTCCATTAAGATGCTCAGTCCTATTATACACATCTTTCTGTCATGAAGTCTAAAACAATATAAGTATGTTACATGAGAAACAGGTCCCTTTATGTTGACTACTGAGGACTCTAGAAGAAGAGCTACAGTACCAAGCAACAGCTCTTATTTATGTTCTTCCCCATGGTTTTTAAATGCAAAATTTCCAATAGCAGGTACTGCCCATAATAACTGATTACTCGCCTATCATGTGCTGGCTAACTTTCTAGAGCTGTTGATTAGGATTCCCAAATACAAAAAAAGTAATTACTATATATTTGAAAGAGTTAGTCTGTCTGGCTGTTTGTTCAAGAACTCCTCCTAAAGGGTAAGAGCTGGGATCACCAAATTTGGTATGCAGCTTCCTTTTATCATAACTTAAAGCAAGGTCAGGGATTGGCTGTGCCAGGGCAATGGAATGTTCCTGGAATGGGATTGCTTCTCATAAAGCCATACAGAAAAGATTCAGACTCACCAGCCAGATGAAACGGACCGGCTAAGGGTACACCCCCTAGTCTGGGATTGCCCCACTCTTGAGCCTCCCCCCTGCAGGTACCCTTTACAGAGGGTAGAAAGAGGCTGAAGCTCCCCCCTCCAGATTTGTATGGGAACTTTGCTGGCTGCTCCACTTCAGCAGGGACCAAAGGAAAAGTGCCAGTTTGCTGCATTCCTCACTCTGGCTGTGGAGTGCAAGGGACAGGTGAGCTGTCACTCACCGAGCAACACTGAGTAAATGTGCTAGTACTAAATAAACAAGGTTAATGATGTAATTTTACTGATTTTCAGTAAAGCAGTGGACACATTACATCATTAAACTGGACAAGAAAATAAATCTGAATTGGTTTCAATAGGAGTACTAACATATGGATTGAAAACTAGTAAAAAGGACCATAAACAAAGAGCAATGACAAAACAGTAATTTTCTGAATTGCAGAGATGACCTGATGGAGTACCACAGGAACTGGTTTTATTTAAATGGCCTAAATTGTATACTGAATTTGTAGATTACATTTAATTGAGAGATGCAGCAAATATCAGGGAGATGAAAGAAATAATTCAAAAGCATCCAGCATAATGGACCACGAGATTCGATTAGGAAAAATGTAAACCAATACACTTGAGGAAAAGTTATTCAAAGATATTCTAATGGGGAGAGCTGGCTGGAAAGTAATAGCTGAAGGAGCCATAATATTGACCGTACATAGAAAAATCTATTAGATAAGAGCTTATAATGTAATCGCTTTTTAAAAAAATGCTTTTGGGCTGCATAAGCAAAAGCTCCACAACCACCACCAGGGCAGGGGTAAATCCTTATCTACTGTCTGACACTCTTCTGTCTACAATTAGATTTGATACTAGAAACACCGGTTCAGTACAGCTTTTTGCTACTAATGGAACTCCATTTTAAAAAAAAATTCTCAGTTACAGACAGCTTTTGTGCAGACCTCCAAATAGGACAAGAATATCCTACAGGAAAGAGGACATTTTCTCTGTGCTATCTTAAAAGATGTTTTGCCAATCTGGCTGGCAGGCATATGCACCGGGCTTCTATAATTTTTGGTGGTGTCCAAAACGGGTCCAAGCAGAGTCATCCCATCCAAAGGATGGAATAGGGCAAATGCCCCAGACCCCATGCTTTGGGAGGCCCTGAGGTCCAGGGTGGCCTGGGTGGATAATGGCGAGCCTGGCTCCAGCAGCAGCAAACAACCCAGCCTCAGCCCATTGTACTCCATCGAGTCCTGGTGTCACTTATGATGTGGGGAAGAAGCTATAAAGAGGAAGGGTAGCGATGGGGGAAGGGGTGAAATGGAAATGAGGGCAGAGCAGGGGCCTGAAGAGATGAGGTATGGGAGAACAGGTGGAGTGGGGGGTGGGTTGGGTTGGGGCCGGGTTGCTTACTTTTGCTGGCACCAAACCCTATGCTAACACCTAAAATTGCCCTGGACCCCCCCATATCTCCTGAAGCTCCCCCTCCTCCCGAAAGCATGGGATGGCTCTGAAAATAAGCCCAAACATTGGTGGAGTCAGGCATAAGTTCTTGAATATTGGTGGAGCACAGGCACTACAGGCCCATATAACTTCCTTCTATGCTGGCAGGTTCTTGTTCCCTTGCCCCTCCATGCAACACAGCAGTTTTACCCAGTCCCTGGATCCACTCCAGAATGGCACTACTAATAAAACTGTAACTGAGTGGGAAAAAGGAAAGGATAAACGGGTAGAAATGCCTTGTTAGCTGTCTGATCCTAAGATATTTTCAGTTGGTACCAAACTAGCCATTTTCCATGGTCTCAACAAGGTTTTGTTTCTCATATGGTGTGGCCACGAAGTTGTAGTATCTAACAAAACAAAGGCTCTTAGGAGACACTATTGTTGCAGTGTTAGTATTGTCTAGAACAGTGTTTCCCAAATGGTGTTGCATGGAACCCTGGGGTTTCGCAAAGTGAAAATAAGGGTTCTACGAGAAAATTCTACTCACAACTCAGCACTGCGTGCGCAGTCAATCAGTAGTGCTATAACACCGGAAATCCCCATACTCACTGTCAGGGAGCGTGGATCATGTAGGTGACAAACAATATGGCAAGTTAATAGTGCCTACATATAGAATTTAAATTATTGATACCAAAATTCCCCATGGATCATTGGCTAAAAGAAGGAACTTTAAAGAAAAAAGTGAGTACTTCAAACACTCCTGCTCTTACTGAAACCAGCAAGGAAGATACTGAGACAGTTCATTCTAATTATGAAGAATTATAGCCAACTAATAAGAAACACAGGTATGCAGAGGACTATTTGTCATTTGGATTCACAAGCAATGGAAATAAAGATGCTCCAGATGCCCAGTGTGTACTATGCAACAAAATATTATCTAACAGTTTTTTAGTACCTGCTAGATTGCGAAGACTTTTTGAAACAAATCACTCGGAAAACAAAGATAAAGACATTAGTTTTTTTAAGTGGAAGCTTGAATCACTTGAAAAAAGTAAACTCTTCACTGGTTTTTGAGCTTTATTATTTTTTGTACACATTAAATGTGATTTTTGTTTTTAAATATGTGCAATTAAACTAAATGTTGATCTCATGATCTTGTTTAGCATTTGTTTATTATTATCCTTACTTATTTGTGGTCTACTTTTTCAGCTCCATATATAATACTCTTATTAGGGGTTCCGCAAAATTCTTTTGAGTTTAAAAGGGTTCTGTAGCCAAATAAAATTGGGAAACACTGGTCTGGAACTAAAAGCATGGGTCAACTTATATAGAGATTCGGAAACTAACAGGATGCACATTTTATAATAGCAAGGTCTGCAATAAACCTCACAGGGAACCAGCCAGTTTTACCCATTTAAAAAAAAAAAAAAAGCTATCATTTCATTCCTAGTTAAAGGCCATTACTACCTGGGCATTGCAATGTTTCAAGGAATCTACATAATTTATAAAATCCAGTATGTATCTTTATTTTGAATATTCAGCACTTTGCTTTCTCTATTGTCCATTACTTCCATGTTGGACCTAAATGCCAACAGAAGTAGTGGCAAAAGCTTAATAAGAGGGCCATTGACTTAAGAACTATTTAATTTCAGTGGGAGAGCACTTTAACAACAGACTGGCTCTCAGCCAGAAGAATGATTTATCATGGGACAGGATACCCAACAATGAAGTCACCTGTAACTCTCTGCAAGTGTCTATAATGAGCTGGAAAGGCAGACACAAGAATCATCTGATAGAGGATTAGAATGTTTTGAGAGACAGAAGCTGTTGGGGTTTGTTTTTGTTGGGGGGGGCGGGGGCATTTTAAGATGAGGAAAACTGCTACAGGAGCTGTATGCGCCAAGGCCAGAGGAACCTGGCCTACCTGAATACAGATGGTCCCTCAAAGAAAGGGCAAGTCAGAGTGAAGAAAAATAACATAGTAATACAGAAATAGAAAAACATTTAATAACATACTCATTGATTTTGAGTAGATCTGTGTAATTCTCCTGCTATTAATGAGCAATGCTGTGTACAAAATCTGCAATTCCACCTTCCAGATGGCCTTTTAGAGTTACCTGGTTTACACTTTTGGGTGGAGTTCTGGGTAAGGATATTACCAAAATGATGTATCTTTAATAAAATCTATACTTAAGTCAAAGTGAACAACTTTTTACAGCATCCTCTCTACTGAAAATATATTAAAAATTGTGTCTAAGTTTTTATTCTTGGAGCATACAATGAATGTAATATTTTGCTGAGGTTTCTGACAATAAGAAGTAATTGATATAATTGTTTCTAGAAACTGGGAACAGATTTCCAACAATTTTGGATAGCAAGTGCAGATTGCATGATAGTGGAAATATTAGGGTAAGAATGACGCATAGTAATTTTCAGGAGTTTGCATTCATGGTAATAACCAGTGAGTTATATTTCCAGAACAGTCTATGGTACTGATTGTATCCCCAGATCAATGGAGGAGTAAATATTTAGCCCTTATCTTTCTGTGTTTGTGCTGACCAATTTCTAATGCTCATGAGTTAATAAACTGGTTAACTGTGATTACCTGACATCTCATTAATTAAGAATACAGGAGGCCCCCAAGATGTGACCGCTCGAGTTTCGACCCCCTGCACTTACAACCATTTTTGTCAGTGCAGAAGGGGCCGGAAACTCCCGACTTACATCCTTGGTCCACATTTACCATGGCGCAGGGTGCCTATCATAAATGAGGGTTTGAGTTACGATGCCCCCCGACTTGCAATGCTTCCCCCAGAACTGATTGCATCGCAAGTCAGGGGCCTCCTGTAAATCCAACCCTTTAAGCAACAGTGTATTTAACCTAGTGGAGGAAACTAAGTAGTCTGAGCCCAGAGGCTAGGCAGCTGAACCGTGGGTCCCAGCTTCAAGAGTTGGCTTTAGACAAAGGGCCTGGGTCCCAAGACTGGTGCGGTAACGGAGTTCTGTTCAGACTCCAGAGGCTTAACACATTCATGGCTCCAGAGTCTGGGACTCCCCTTAGAGCAGTCTGAGAAGTGGCCAATAGGGGATGCCAATCCACAT